ACTAATGACGACTGCATTCATGCATTGTGGTTATGAATGGCGCATTTTGTTTTTACCCTCTTGGTTGCTTCTGCACCTGGCGCCACCTTCCAAAAGCATCGGTGGAAGGTATCGAGAACTCTTGCTTTTCTGTTCATAATCTTTTTTGATACCTCATTTGCCTCCCATAAATCCATCTTATTTCACTCAAATGCCGACCTGACATTTTTTCGCGCCAAAATGTCTTCTTACCCCCGCTCGGCTGATCCCAAATCGGGCTATCTACCGTCTTCGGCCGGCAGCCTGAAGCGTAATCCGGCCTTTAATGCCTACCTGCTTGTGCTGCCCTGCATCCTGCTCTCCTTTCTGACGCTGGTCATTTTTTGGCTGCCACCTCAGATTCCGGGAAAGATGATACTCGGTAGGTTGCACCGACTCCTTTTCCTCCTCAGACTGACCCAGCCAAAGAGTGGAGATAGACAAAGCGTCTGCCTTTAGGGCTGGCATCGCTTAAGTCACTTTCTCCAGCTCCACTGCATCACACTGACTGCTTAAGAGAGTGTACAAACATTCAGACTAAGTCTTAGGTGTGATTTGGTTTTACCTCATTTGCATCACCCACTTGTGTAATCATGACGACCTAGAAGGAGGCTATCTATACCTCTTCACGTCTTCATCAAGCTGTCGTCAACTGGGTTTATTTCAAGACGCTGGAGCTGGAATCACAGCTGGCATCGTCAATGAGAAGTTTCATCCTCAGCGCCGAGCTACAACTTGTCAGAATGACCATTTTCTCTTCAGCAATCCGATTTTCCTCTCAACCACGCTTTCCATCCTCTCATGCCTCATTCGAGTGAGGTTCCTAAAGCGTTGCCACCTTCACCACCGGTTTCGCATCCCGGGCTTACTGACCCCGATTGATACCTCCCATTGGCAAGCCAATTTACTCCATTTCTACTTGTTGGTCCTTCTCGACCTTCCGTGCCTTATCGGACAGGTATCAGGACAAGGAGGAGGGATGCTATACGGGATTGAACAGAAAATTACTCACGAATTGTAACTCGATCCTTAAGTTTTGCGCTGATCTCTAACTCTGCCAATTAATGTGCCGTCAAGATATGTGGGAATGCACCCAGTCGATGGTCCGATGCTGGACACATTAGCGACTGCATTCTTCGAAGTCACTCTGACAATACGATTAAGCGATGAGAGCGACTCCAAACAAAGTCTTTACAGCGAGTGGAGGCTATAGCCAAACCAAAGGCCACATCTTCATAGCTGGATTGACATCTTTTCCTGTGAATATGTACGATGATTCTATCCCGTCAAGATGACCACGGATTGCATAAATTCTGCTATTGTTTAAGTTCATTGTGATGTTTAGGCCGTCACAGTCCTCAAGATGGCGGTCCTCTGTCCTTGTGCAAATGTCTCCTACTTCACTTATAGTACATGCCCAGATTCTTAGTTCATTATCAAATCTTATTTCTATCTGCCGTAGCATTTCGAGATAAATGAAGTCTCATGACATGATCCTATTTGATGTGTAAGAACAGTCCCTGTGCATGAAGATAAATAAATAAATAAAAAAATACACATTCGCACGCATATAAATATAAATATAAATATATATGAGCGGGATAAAAAGCCATTAAAGGCTCCGAGTAGCTGGAGCGTAGCATGTATCCTATCATGTGCTTGGTAAGTGTGAATGTTGTCATAGCATGGAACGAAAATACTGGTTTGGTTGTTTAACTCACTTTCATGTCTATCGTTTAATTCAGAAATTTTCTTAATCTGTCATCAAACCTTAATTACATGGGATAGATTTAACACGAACGAAAATACTGGTTTGGTTGTTTAACTCACTTTCATGTCTATCCTTTAATTCAGAAATTTTCTTAATCTGTCATCAAACCTTAATTACATGGGATAGATTTAACACTATATTCTGATTACTAGTCAGTAGCATTGGACTTTCGTTCCTGCATGCATACACACACACACTTATACACACATAAATGTACATACGCATAAATAGATAGGAAATATGACTAATAAAAATATTTCATACCTTTTAAAATTAATTTTTGGTAACAGCCTACAATATCTCGGTAAGTTTGTGTTGGTGTAATTATGTAGTCATCGAAAGTAGTAGTTGCAGCTTTGATGACTTCCGTCAAGTGTAATAGTGGGCGAAATATCAGCATGCCCTCATACGAACCAAAGGCAGGTGCCTTTAGGATAAATAAAAAGTGTATTCTATTATAAAAGAAAGAATTAAATTATCAAATAATTAAATTATTAAATAATCCGTTCTATTTAAGTGATATAGACCGTCGGGCACATTTTCTACGCACTCGAAACTAATCCAACTTAGCAACTGCATTTCATGTTTTTCATCTACCAGTATCTCTACTAATAAATTAGATTGTAGTATAAATCAATGTCTTTAAGAGCATCCTGTTTTCATCCATCTCACTATTAATAATTTCTCTTTATTGGCAGTCTTTTGTCTGTAACTCTTCCGACTTCCCTGTCTGCACAACTATCCAGAGGACAGAGTCGATTGTATAACTTTATGTTAGCTTACTTAATATGCATCATTTGGCTAAGAGTATGATTTCGTTTTTTATTTTCCGTTTTTTATTATTCGCCCTTAGGAATGAACATATTCGTGGCCTTCTCCTTCTTGCTCAAAATCTTGGCTAATTCGACCCCATCCGCTTCTACCAGTGTTCCCTACCTCGGTACGTGAACTTAAACATTCTCTTCTCGATGAATAGCAATGTAGAATATCACCCCCTCGGGAAAATAAAGCTTTCTCA